GAGCACATCCCTGCTTAGAGGCCAGTGTGTGTGATCTGCTGAGATCTGGGCTGGACCACTGAGGAGCGACTTCTCTCTAAAGCATTTGTTGTTTTTGTTCAAACTAACGTCAAACAGCTCCTATGAGTTTAATGTGAACAGTGAAGTGAAGTTTCTGGGTTTATTCTTACATTAAAAAACACTTTTTAAACTGTTAACATTTGACACCAACCTCCTTGTGAACCGTGTCTCTTAGTTCCTCAGACCACTGACAACTGGGGCTTTGTTATCTATGACATGCAGATGATTACTGTGTTTTCTTTCACTACATCCTCTCTGATGTGCCTCATTCTCCCAGTCCAGCCTCCCAGAGCCTTTGTTGTCTTTCTCTGGTCAGATTCCGTTTCCCTGCACCGGCGGCGGCCGTCAGCGCTCTGGGCGAGGAGCTGGAAGGAGTCCTGCAGCTCTGAGGATCCAGGAATGTGCAGACAGATGGACACCAAACACGCTGTGAAGATGCATCTGTCTGGTCACACTCTGCGGGCGCCACCTGCTGGCCGAGGGCGGAAACTATACGGACGTTTCTAACACGGAGCCAATAACAGAAGAACTCTCAGCACAGCGCAGCTCGTTTTAAATAAGTTTATTCTGTAAGAATTCTCAAATGCGTTTTAAGAAATGCAGGGATGGTTTCTGTTTTTTATACAATTCCTCTGAATAAAATATGATTCTTTTCAAATTGCATTTGGTGGCTTTTAAAACAAACACCTGAAATTATCTATTTACAAAAAACCTGTGAACAGCTCCATCAGAACTCATGTGGGCAGCACCGGCCGTCCTGCGTCTGGCCCAAAATATCGTCTTTAAAGGTTTCATTACACGGTTGTATTGGTTTTTGTTTAAACTTTTTTCCTGGTACAAAATATGTGGTTTTACAATTTCAATCCAGTCTTTTTATTGGGTCTTCATGTGGCTCACAGGGGGAGTATGTACAGGGGAGGGGAGGACTGGTGTCATGTGATCTGATGCGGCGCCTCCAGCATCTCCATCAGGAAGGTGTCGATCGGCGTGTCCCCGATCAGCTTGAAGAAGAACAGGTGCTCCAGACACTTGAGGCCGATGGAGCGGAGGGCAGGAAGGCGGAGCAGCAGTTTGGCAAACCTGCAAGAGACCAAAGGAGACCCAAATGCTGAGGCGTGTCGCTGCAAATCCTGTTCTAGTTCAAGTCCAAACGTGCTCCACACTGCCAGAGCTGAGATGTGCATCTGCGGCTCGGACACCTTCAGGTTGTGGTTGGAGCAGCAGACACATCCTGGATGTCTACCACCATCCTGCTGCCACCACTGAACCATCCTGTCTACTCATGTTCAGCTCCTGGTTGCTCATGAAGGTCTTCGCTGCTTCTGGGACTCACGGCGACTCGTGAATGAAACACTGTATATATATATATATACATACAAACACACATATATGTATGTATGTATGTATGTATATATTCAATTCAATTCAGTTTTATTTGTATAGCGCATATTTACAACAACAAGTCATCTCATAGCGCTGAACAAAGGCAGAAACACCCAACAATCCAAACATCTGGATTCTCTATAAGCTTCAGCAGTCTGCTGGTGGGACGGAACCGAAAACCCCCACAGGGGGAAAAAACAAAACAAAAAAAAACATATATATAGTTTACATAGTTCCTGGTTTGGCTAAATTACAAATAATAATTAATAAAATCCTAAAAAATAAAAGTATTAATTTACACGTTAAACCTTAAAAACACACTTACACACACACACACACACACATACACACACCTACACACACACACACACACACATACACACACCTACACACATACACACACACACATACACACACACACTTACACACACTGACTGCTGATGGTTCTGCTGACGGTTCTGAGTGCTGACGGTTCTGACTGCTGACGGTTCTGACTGCTGATTGTTCTGACTG